TTATTTTTGCCCATAGGCAACGGTTCCAGAACCGAGGCATATTCAGGCGAGGTAAAAAAAGGTAGAATTTTTCCCTCGAATTCGAACATAACCGAGGCAGTAGGGTCCTTTTTATTTTTTTTATTGAACCAAGTCCGAGTTGATCCATGGAAAAATCAACAATAGTCCATGATTCTAAATTTTTTCTCTTACAAAACCTCACAAAATAGTCATCACGAATAGGAACAAGCAGTGAAGGGACTTGGAACTCAGCTGACATCTGAACCAACAAGAAATGAAATTCATCAATGCTCAAGAGGGGTGACAAAGTGGATAAAATGGATGTGAATTAAGGCAGATTTATAATAAATTAAACTTTGCTTACCACTTCACAGGCTCCCTCCAAGATTTCTGTTTGGCCAACTTCCAGCACTTAATGTATCCCTACCCTTGAAATGATACCGCAAAACATGTTTGCCCATTGATTATGAAAATCATTATCAATAGTTTCAATGTCAATCAACCAATTTAAATGTCTTACAATGATGTCTCACCTTCAATGAAAGAAAAAAGAAAACAAACTTATAAATGGAAAGCATAATGAACAAGGTGATGAATATAAGATTAAAATCGAGAGATTTAAAGTAAATCCTAATAAGAGATAAGTTGTTTAGAGATCAAGATTACCACTGCGGAATGCCTTGAAGCTTCGATTTTTACGACTAAGGGTGTTGGACCTATTCCCTTAGGGAAAAATCACAAATATTCATCCTGGTTCAGAATCTCACAGCCACAACTTCTAGGGAACCACAAAGGGTCAAAGTTATTTACTTCTTCTCTCAATCGCATACTCTCAGCCCTCAATTATTGCTCCTCAAAGGAAATTTCTCCACTGAGGCTACCACAATTAGGGCAAGAAGCATGACATACCGTGATGGGCAACGGGGGCGACGACAACAACGAGGGCGACGACGACAATGGGGGCGACAACGACAACGGGGCGACGATGGCAGAGGGGGCGATGAAGACGACACTCAGAAAGTGAAGGAATCGCGGCGGTGACGGTGGTGGAGGCAGTGCTTAGGGAGAACAACGGTGCACAGTGTAGGGAAAACGAAGAAGAAGTTTAGGCGTAAAAGATGAAGAGGAAGAGGCCGCTAGAAAGGAGGAAAACGCAGGCTGGCTAGAGAGAAAATGCAGGTTTAGGCGAGGAAGAAGGAAGATGCATAGTCTAGGGTAACTTGTTTCGAGAAAGTAAAAATTATAAATGAGGATACTGTTTCGGTTATTCAATTAACCAATGCGTAAGTTTAACCGAATGATAATAGGCCTCGGCTTCTTGTAAAAGTGAAGCATAATCTCCAAACATAATGCTTTGGTTCTACCATTTACCCGAGGCAATAGGACCTTTTCAAAAAGATGTCAGACTTTGCAATGTTTTGTGCAGAGGTATAGGTATCAGGTCTGCAATTAACCGAAGCAATACCTCCCTTCCGCCTCGCATGCTTCTGAACCGAGGTATATAGTTTTGTATGGTTCGATTTTTCCATAACCGAAGCGTATATGGCGGGTTAGAATGCACTTTTTTTACTAGTGTCCAAGGAGTAGATGTATCTCAAGAAGTCAGACTTGTGTGCAACAACAGTCACAAGAAATTGGTATACTAAGTCTATTTTTTATTGGGCTGGAAAGGACTGTTAATGGATGGTTCTTCAGAGATGAGCTAACTGTTGGAAGTACACCTACTCTTGCCTTCATTCCACAAACTGATTTTGAGAAATATGTTGTTGATCAATTTAGGAAGAAGTCTGAAAGGGATGAGAGAGTTGAAGATATTCTTTTCAGATGGGAGAAGAAGGGAAACAAGAATTTCATTTGCTTTGAAACTGAAGATTTTGATGATGAGTCAATTTATGAAGATTGAATGGAATCTTCTTCGTAAGAATAGGGACTACTTTTCTATGTGGATTTTTTTTATATTTTGTAATCATGGCATTAAGTCACCTCTGGTTTTATGTACTGCTTCGGTTTTATTTTGAAATGAAATGAATATTTATTTTAGTAAACGATATGTGAATTGTGAATGTTGATTGCATTGTTATGTGGACTAACCCTCAATCTAGTTGAAAAGAGAAGATTATGCTGTTCTGATATTGATCAAAAATTGATCACTTGTTTAAAAGTTCAAATTTCAGTACACTGCTAACTTGAATCGATTAAGGAAGAAGTAAAAAGAAAAAATTTCATGTATGATTTTAAAGAAAAAAGAATCATAAGAACGCCACATTTTTCTATTGTCGGAAGAATAAAACGTCGAAGCCCCCTCAAATACGACGTTCTATTAAGCACACAATTAATGCTCCCAAGTACTTCAATTCCCTTCACGTCCCAGCCCGGCAGCCTACGACATTCTATGGAAGGGCAGAAAAGAAAAAATATCCAAAAGTATGGTACTTTTTGGAGGAAGAACAAAACGTCTAATTCCAATACTACGTTCTATTAATGCTTTCGTGTTTAAAAGAAAAAACTAAAAAGAAATAAAAAGGTAGAAACTTGTGGCTTCCAATACTATGTCCGAGCCCCTTCAAATTTGACGTAGCCTTTGCAATTTATAAGAAAAATTTAATAAAAAAGGCGCGCTGTTTTAAGAGACAACGTCGAATGGTTTGGGACTTCGACGTTGTTTTTAAACATAATGTCAAAATTTTGTTGTATACAATGTGAAAGTTTTTTTATTGAATGTAAAAACAAACCATAGTCTCATTATTTGTTCGCGGTTCCATTTCTGCTTGAACTTTCTTCTTGGTGGACGACTGCGATAAAGAAAGAAGGTTATTTTTAAGTCGTTTCTGCCTTTGTAATGTCATTTGGTTCTCATTCCTAAGGTTGACCGATTGTTTTTCGTTTATCTTTAGGCTGTTTTTCATACGAGGTCAGCGAACTTCATCATCTTCTCTAGTGACACCATTTGAAGTATTTTTTTTTCTTCTTAAAATACTCTTACGTATGATGTATGTGCTCGTGTTTGTGTTGTGTTTGTCGATTCTGGAGGTATGATATCTATATGTATAACGATACTATGATAGTTTTTTTTTTTCTTCAACTTATGATATTTGTGTTTGTTCGTTGTCAGCGAACTTCGTCATCTTCTCCAGTGACACCATTTCAAGTTTGTTTTTTTTTCCTTCAATATCTCTTACGTATGATATATGTGTTCGTGTTTGTCGATTCTGGATATATGATATATGTATAACAATATATATTTGTGTTCGTGTACGTATACTATGATACTTTATTTATTTCTTTCAACGTATGATAGGTATTTATTTTTATTTCTCTACATAAGTTAGTTTTTTTTCCCTGGATTCTTTTCGTTCAGTGTAGTAGTATGGATCGATGCTGGATTCATCAGCGTCGTATTAGTGAAGAGTATGAGCGAGGAGTTTCTGAGTTCATACAATATGTTAAAGAACACGCAAAACCAGTGAACGGGGCATATTTTTGCCCTTGTGTTTGTTCTCTCAATCAAGTATATGAAGACTTGGACAACATCCGTGATCATCTGTTCATCTATGGAATAATGAGAAGTTATACAGTTTGGACTTGGCATGGGGAAGTATTATATAAGCCAACAACTTTAAGAGGTTCGGATTACGTCGACGAATGGATGAGTAATCATTTAGACGAAATGGTACGTGACGTTGGCGAAGAAAATTTTGGAAGAGCTCATTTATACGATAGTCTTAAGAATAATTTAGAGCAAGAGTTGTATCCAGGATGCATCAATTTTACAAGGTTATTGGCTACTTTNTTCTTTCAACGTATGATAGGTATTTATTTTTATTTCTCTACATAAGTTAGTTTTTTTTCCCTGGATTCTTTTCGTTCAGTGTAGTAGTATGGATCGATGCTGGATTCATCAGCGTCGTATTAGTGAAGAGTATGAGCGAGGAGTTTCTGAGTTCATACAATATGTTAAAGAACACGCAAAACCAGTGAACGGGGCATATTTTTGCCCTTGTGTTTGTTCTCTCAATCAAGTATATGAAGACTTGGACAACATCCGTGATCATCTGTTCATCTATGGAATAATGAGAAGTTATACAGTTTGGACTTGGCATGGGGAAGTATTATATAAGCCAACAACTTTAAGAGGTTCGGATTACGTCGACGAATGGATGAGTAATCATTTAGACGAAATGGTACGTGACGTTGGCGAAGAAAATTTTGGAAGAGCTCATTTATACGATAGTCTTAAGAATAATTTAGAGCAAGAGTTGTATCCAGGATGCATCAATTTTACAAGGTTATTGGCTACTTTGAAATTGCTTTGTTTGAAAGCAAGAAACGGATGGACTGATAAAAGTTTCACGGAATTGTTTGAGTTGCTGAAGGAGATGCTACAAGAAAATAACATGTTACCTATCTGTAATTACGACGCGAAGAAAATTCTATGTCCAATGGGTTTGGTATACCAAAAGATACATGCATGTCCCGATTACTGTGTATTGTATAGAGGTCAGTATGCTTCAATGAAGGTGTGTTCGACGTGTGGTTCGTCACAATTTAAGAAGAAATTTGATGGAAATAACGATGAACACAATGAAGGTCCACCGGCTAAGGTCATGTGGTATTTACCTATAGTACCTAGGTTGAAACGATTGTTTTTTGTTAAAGAAGATGCGAAGAATCTTATGTGGCACATTAATGAAAGAAAATGTGATAATCTTCTTCGACACCCAGCTAATTCCCCACAATGAAAGAACATTGATGGCACATTTCCCGAATTTAGTGTAGAGCCGAGAAACTTAAGACTTGCACTTGCTACCGATGGTATGAATCCTTATGGCAACTTAAGTAGCAAACATAGTTCATGGCCAGTTGTTTTGATGATTTACAATCTCTCTCCTATGTTGTGCATGAAGAGAAAATACATGATGTTGTCTATGATGATATCGGGTCCTAGACAACCTGGAAATGACATTGATGTTTATCTAAAACTGTTAATTGACGATTTAAAAATGTTGTGGGAAGAGGGCGTCAAGGTCTTCGATTCATATTCAGAAGAAAACTTTCGTTTGCGTGCAATGTTGTTTTGCACCATAAATGATTTCCCAGCATATGGGAACTTGAGTGGTTACAGTGTTAAAGGTCATTTTGCATGTCTGATTTGTGAAGAAAATACTAGCTATCTTCAACTGAAGCATGGGAAGAAAACTGTGTACACAAGACACCGAAGATTCCTTCCTCGAAATCACCCTTACCGTAGATTGAAAAAGGCCTTTAATGGAAGTCCTGAGGATGATGTAGTGTGCAGACCAAGTAATGAGGAAGAAGTATACGACCATGTGAGGAACATTGATGTTGTCTTCAGAAAACATAAAAAGAAGACCGTTGAGAAAAACATTTGGAAAAAGCAATCAATATTCTTCAATCTTCCATATTGGTGTAAACTTGATGTGCGACATTGCATAGACGTGATGCATGTTGAAAAACATGTATGTGATAGTGTTGTTGAGACTTTACTAAACGTTAAAGGAAAGACAAAAGATGGAGTGAAAGCATGACAAGACTTGGTTGTCATGGGAATCCGTTTTGAGTTACATCTGCAATCCATAGGAAGACGCACCTATCTTCCTCCAGCTTGTCACACTCTTTCGAAAAAAGAGAAACAAATTTTTTTTCATTGTTTACATAGTGTGAAGGTTCCACAAGGTTATTCGTCGAATATTAGTAGCCTTGTTTCTATGAAAGATTTAAAGTTGGTTGGTTTAATGTCTCACGATTGTCATGTCTTAATGCAACAACTTTTACCAGTAGCTATTCGAGTCATATTACCTGCCTTTGTTAGAGGTATTCTCACACGTTTGAGTTTGTTTTTCAATGCCATTTGAAAGAAAGTTGTTAATCCTCGATATTTAGATGATTTGCAAAATGAGGCCATCAGACTATTGTGCCAAATGGAAATGTATTTCCCACCCTCATTTTTTGATATCATGGTTCATTTCATTGTCCATCTAGTGAGAGATTTTCAAATATGTGGGCCGGTTTTCTTGAGGTGGATGTACCCGGTTGAAAGATACATGAAGATCTTAAAGGGATATGTTAAGAATCAATTGAGACTGGAAGCTTCGATTATAGAGCGCTACATTGTAGAGGAAGCCATTGAATTCTGCTCAAGTTATATGCCAAGTTGTGACCCAATAGGACTTCCAAAGAAAAGACATGAAAACATACGTGAAGGAAAAAGAGTTCGAGGAGTAAGGATTGAAAGTGTTAGTGGAAAAGAAGTTAATCAAGAACATTTGTACATTTTAAACAACACAGAGGATGTTATTCCTTACATTTCACAACACATTGATGAAATTAAGTCAGCACATCCACGTATGAGTGAAAAGTGGACACTTAATGAACATAACAAATCCTTTTTAGCTTGGTTTAAGAAAAAGATTTATGCGACTTCGAATGTTTCTGAAAATCTGTTGAGACTAGCTCGTGGACCTAACACTGATGTGATCACTTTCGGCGGCTATTACATAAACAATTACTTGTTCTATTCAAAGGAGGAAGACGATAAAAGTAGAGTTCAAAATAGTGGAGTTACCCTACATGCTGAGGCTGTACACTTTTCCAGTTCCAAAGATAAGAATCCAATTACAGCATCAATAAGTTATTTTGGAATAATACAAGAAATTTGGGAAATTGATTGTCACCAAAGTGTAAATGGGTTGACAGTAATTCTGGTGTGGTGACAGAAGACCTCGGATTCACTTTGGGGGATCTTAACAAAATGAGTTACACGGATGAACCATTTATTATGGCTAGTCAAGCAAGACAAATATTCTATGTCACTGACCTAGTGAATCATAAATGGTCAGTGGTATTGGAAGGTTGATGTAATCCTGCCCAACGTAGTCCTTCTTTAGTATTTTTACCTTTTATAGGTTAGCTTGTAAGGAGCATGGGTTACTATAAATACCCGTCTCCACCACTGTATCATTCACTTTTGAGATTAATGAGAATTGAGTATTCTGAATCAGAAACTATTCTCTCTTGAAAGTCATAGGCTAGAGAGTCCAAAGACTCCCTCTAGCCACCTTCCAAGCACCTCTCTCACTTTCATTTTCCAAATTTCACGGTGCTTCTCTCCTCCATGCTACATCCTTCGCTACCACCTCGTTAGCGCATGCGTCAGCTCCTCCATTCCACGTCATTGGCTTTTCCTCTCATGCACAGAAACGCCACTTCATTTCGCATCTCACCTCTCGCGCATCAGACACACACGTCCACATTTCTCTCTCATTTCTCCATTTCGCAGAACCACATCTCATTCTTCCTCTCCAGGGTTCTTCACAGTAAGCCAGTTTTCTTCCTCGAATCTCCTTCTTCCTTCATTTCTTTGCTTCGTCTCAGCCATTACAAACCTTTCCACCGAACATCTGCATCCAAACTTAGGGTTCCTTCATCATTCTCACTTTGCCTTTCGATTTCACCGATTGTTTTCCCCTTTCTACCGTTTAATCCATTTTCCACCGAACAATCTCCATTTACCACCGTTTAATCGGTCCAAATCGCGTCTCTTCCCAATCCTAGGGTTTCATTCGTACTTCTCGATTCTCAACCGATTAATCCTAGATCCTAGGGTTCTCTGTATTCAACCTCATTTTCCCCTTCAAATCTCGAACTTCCATTTCATTCCACTGCGTTCATCTCTGGAAGAAGCTTCGAAGAAGCTCGCGGCACGCACATTCGTCATCTCCTTGGACGCTCGTCCATCAAAGGTAGAGCCATGCACACAACTGATGATGAAGACTCTCTAGATATACTTGAGACAAGCTCCTTCTCATCAAGGACCATTGAAAATAAGGTTGATGATGTACCCGATGAAATACATGCAACTCAATGTGATCACAACGAAGGCAATTGGGATAAATAGGTGTCTTAACATTGTTTTAATTACTTGTACAATTTATTTATTTTGCCTGTTCTAACTATAATGTACTAACACTTTGTAAATAGGTATGACGAGCTCTGGATCAGGTCCGATGACAGGATAGTGTAGATTTGTGACTCGGATGCCTGATGTCACATCCCGTTGGGTTAATGAGAAATCAGTGACGGTGGAGTTTGATCCCCGAACATTTGTGCCTATTGGGGCACATGCAACATCGTTCAAAAGTTACTTGGGCGTGATGGCAAAAGCACATGTCCCTATTGTTACTACCTGTTGGGATGATGTCCCACAGGTTGACAAAAATATACTATGGCAGGATATTTTAGTATGTTTAAGATGTTTTACTTCCATCATTGACTTATTTTTGTTGATCATGCTTTAACATTAATTTTGTTTTTAACAGGAAAATTGGAATATCCCTAATGATGAGAGGATAAGGAAGAAGATTTTATCCCACATTGCAGTCTGGTGGAGTGACTTCAAGATGAGAATGACACGTCAATACGTCTTTGGCTCTAAATAGAATGACACTCTTTGTACAAAATATAAAATAACTGAGGAGGAGTGGGTGCAGTTTAAAGAATCTAGACTTACTCTTGAGTGACATATATGTTTTTTAATATTTTGCTCTAGTCACACAAGATGTTAATTTGTGATTTATGCTTAATGATTTTCATTTTTTCATAGTTGAAAAGGATAGCCGCCCAGCAGAGGCAGAAGCTTAATGATACACCACACGTACTGTCACGTGGTGGTTATGCGTTATTAGAGAAAAGATGAGAAAACGTCGCGTTGACGAGTTAGGTCTTGAGTCACCTGACAACACCTCCACCAGCCAAACATGAATTGTGGAAGGCTTCACGGACAAATTCTAATGGCCATGTTACATCACAGTCTGCTCAGGAGATATCCCAGAGAATTGTAAGTGGAAACTTTTAACTGATTACCATAGTTCATAAACAAATTATGTAACAAACTTTTTAATGTGTCTAGCTTCATTATTATATGCAGGATGGCTTGGTTGACCAACTGAGTCAAGGAACATTTATGGCACAAGGTAGGGAGGACCTCCTAGTAGCAGCCACAGGTTGGCTAGACCGTCCAGGTCGTGTGCGTGGTGTTGGAGGAGCTATTGGATTGAGGGACTACTTTGGCCCTAAACCAAGAAGCACAGAAGTCGTGACTAAGGAAATGGTTAGTAGCATCAAGCAACACGTGCAAGTCGAATTAAAGGAAAGCATGGGTGAACGCTTTAGAATGCTCAAAGAAAAACTTGCGATGATCAGCCAACAATAGCAACATCAATAACAACAACAAGAGCAACAACAATAGTCACAGCAGGAGGACGCCCCTATAGATGATCCTACTGCACCTCATGTGAGCACCAAAGGCTCATGCTCTACTGCAGATCGTACTAATTACAATATTCAGCATGAGTTTTTTGTTGATGAGGATCCTCCACGCGTAGTGGCCGTGGGACGACAGATTGCAGGAGCCCAGACCATTCATGGTGCTCCTTTATTGCCCACTCACGCGCGGGTAATGATTGATGATCCAAGAGACCCCTAAGGTCGAGTGTCAATGCCTACATCTGAAATCCAATTCGTGGGGGAGGCCTTAGGCACATTTATAGCTTGGCCTAAGGCTATGATCATGCCATATGGCCCACCAGCGATATTATATTCTTCTTTTTATTATCTTAAATCTTCAAGTTATAATTAAACGATTCCTAACTTTTGTAAATGTGAGTTGTAGGTCTACCGTCCTGAGAAACAACCAATTGCTCAACCTGTGAACGAGGCTCGTGAGGAAGCAGAGGACCATGATGCTATATCCATATTGACCTCCAGAATAAATAATTTGAGAAAAGGACCGGTAGAGATGCTGTGGGAGTTAAGAACATTTGGCCTCGAGTGCCATGTTCCATTGTATATTAATTTCGATGATGCTTATTAGATCATTGGTTGAGAAAAAATGTTTAATATTTCATTCATACAACTATTGTGCATGTAAGTTTTTTATTTGTTATTTTCCAATTTGTATATTAGTATTATTACTTTTTAATAAATATACTTAACTTTATTCTTACTGGTAAATGGACACCATTGTAGTTGAATCAGGTCGGGCGTCAGTTTATAGCTTTCTTGAACCTCAGACCATTCAACCATCTGGAAACATATTAGATTTCAGAAAATCATATATTCAAACATGGATGACTGAGTCTAACAGAGAGATATATATCGCGCCATACTTTGATGCGTATGTGTTTCCCAATATTGTCAACATTTATCAAATTTTAATCAATAAACTAACTCACTAGTTGTTGATACAGGGGCCATTGGCAACTCATGGTGATCATTCCGAAAAAAAACACAAGTTGTATGGTTTTGTTCTCTTCATAGGAAGATTAAAGCGGAATTGAAGTCATTGATACAAACGTAAGTATTACATTCATTATTATCAATTCATTATGATATTAATATATTAACTTATGTTTCTAATGTTTTAAATTTGTTTAGAGTTGTGACTAGGACCAGAGGACAACAACTTGAAATTATATATCCTAAGGTTGGAATTCGTTGATCTTTAACCTTTAATTTTCTTAGTCAAATTTAAATCATTACATTTGACTAAGTTCTTTCACATGTTTAGTGTAATAAGTATAATGATTCCTTGGCATGTGGCTACTACATCATGTCATGGATGAAGGCAATCATCCGAGCAGAAATCAAAGGGGAATGGACTGAGTTAAAAATTTACATTTGAAAATCTTACAAATATCAATAAACTTTTGACATTAAAATGAATATAATAGTAAAGTTTCCTTCATTATGCAGCGGTTCAACACTACCTCTCCATTGTCCACTTCAGTAATAACGACAATAAGAGAGGATTGGGCACAATATTTGAATAAACATTTTAAATAGCTATAGCTTTAGTTTTTCCTTTCATGATAGTAGCATTTGCTTACTTATGCAGCTTTTAAACTTTTAATAGATTATTGTGAATAGATGAATATTGTGAATAGATGAATGGAAAACTGGGTTCTTTAAAGTTTTGATGATAGCATTATCGTCTTTTAGTTTTACTATTTAATTGGAATTGATGAATTCATGATAGCATGGTTTAAATTAATTAATTCTGTAAATATATATGAATTGGAAAACTGGTTTCTGTATTTCAGGTTTGGAGCTAAACCGAATCAAATCTAAAAAAAAAACACTGAAGCTAACGTCGAAGTATACACCATTTGACGTTCAAACATCGACATTAACGTCCATCCCCTTATACTTGACGTCAAATATTCCTTTAAATATAAATATTTATTCAAATATTACTCAAAAATTGACGTCCTTTTTGAACTTCGACGTGAACATTACGTCCATTATCTTCCGTATCGATGTTAACTTTACGTCACTTCCCTCGTACATTAGACGACAAATATTACTATAAATATAAATATTTATTCAAATATTGAACGTCAATCTCTTTACTAACTGACGTAACCTCAGGTCGTTGCACAATGTTGACGTTAGGTTTACGTCAGATATCGATATACTTGACATCAAATTGTCATATTAACGTCGCCTCGTGATATTCGACGTAAAATTTACGTCACCCGCTATGACGTTGGTCGCGAATTCGTCGTTAAAAGCCAAAAATAACCGACATAATACGCTATTTTTCACTAGTGACTAGTACAAAAATCGCGTACAACGTCGAATATTTTGGGCTTTTAACGGTGAAATCACAAACGACGTCATATCAAGAGACATTAAATTGACGTTGAATTTAAAA